AAGCAAAGGAGAGAAAACCTGAAAACGAAGAAGAAGACGGAAAGAGCGATGAAATTTCAAGTTTATACAGAGATTTTTATTTTTTTCCTGCGTCTAGAAATGATATTAATGTTTTTTTTTTTTTGTTGATTCCGAAATTAATTGTTTTTGATATTTTCCTGAAAACAAAAATATATATTTCCCCTAAAATACGACGACAAAACAAAAATATATCATATATATTTCCCTAAAATAGTTTTACAAAATTGTTAGAGCAAAAGCAAGACGCTAACATCTTTTTTCCATTTCCAATTTACAAAAAAGTATGAATAAATTAATTAACATCTATTATATTAAAACAGAAGTATTTTTAATGTCTGCTTCCAAACATTCATAAAGTTTTTTTTAAATATTTTATTATATATATAAATTTAATTTCGAAAATTTGATATTAATTTAGATAACTACAGATTCCTGAAATATAGTTTATTTTTTTGTAATTAATTTAATTCTTTAAAATAAATATTAATTTAAATTACTTTAAATTTCTTTAAATATAAATTAGATTTAATTTAACATTTAAAATTAAATAATATTTTTAAAATAACATATATGATTAACAAATATCTTATTATATTTTTAATTATATTCAATCAAATTAAAATTTCACATATTAAAAATTGATAAAATATTAATATTATATGGTAATTTGATGAAGGGTTTAAGTTTTTTTTATAATTATAATTTTATGCGGTTATCAAAACATGCAAGATATTAAAATAAATTATTTCAAAATTAGTAAATATTTATATTATATAATAATGTGAACATGCGGATTATAATTATTATTTCATAACCATGATCATTTTCGAATTAATAAAATATACAAGTTAGAAATATGTTTTTATAATAATGGTCATTTTTATTAATAAAATGATTGTGTTAGAATTATGTTTTTATGATCATTGTCATAATAATATTAGAAACAAATTTAAAAATAAGTTATATCTAAACAAAAAAAAAATGTATCACTCATTAGAAAAATTATACTTATAAAATATAAAATTACATTACAAATTTGGATTTATAAAACAAAATCCCGTGCAGATGCACGGGGTAAAATCTAGTTGAGATGTTTAAAGTAAACATCACTATCGACAAAAAAAAAACATCACTAACACAAATGAAAAAAAGTCAATATAGAAAACATTTCAAATCAAAGGTTTTATTATAGATACAAAGATTAGAGATGGAATATTTAGTTCCAAATCTAAAAATTAATATCTGGTTTTAAATCCGACAATATCCAAATCTGATCAAAATAGCTAAAATGGTTAAAATAATAGTATTTTGATTTTTTTTTTTAAATAGTATAATTTAATTTTGAAAAGCAATATAATATAATTATAGATTTACAGCACAAGTAAAATACTTTTTTAGAAGAAAAAATTGATGTAAAACAATGCTTAAGAAAGTGCTAGATGTTAAACGAATGGCAATCTACCGTTTAACATTTTTTTTTGCTAAATTGTATGCTAAATTGTTTCATTAAAAATGAAACAGATTAGGTATTACAAATTGAGTAAACAGTTGATCGACCTAAAAGTTTGGTCTCATGGCAAACAAGAGGAAAAAAACATTAAAGCCAATTCAATCAGTACTGAATCGATATTAAAGCTGCGAAGCAACAAGTGACGAGTAATGATAAAGCGCTCCAAGGCCCGAGAGAAAGATAAGACCAAGATAAGGTCGAGTGGAGAATCCTGATAACAACATGATTTTACCTATTTTCATTAATGATCTCTTATGCTATTTTAAGTGTTTTATTTAGTTTTAAGTGTTTTTATTACAGTTTTCTATATTTGTAGTTTTAAAACTCTAATCAGATTAATTAGGAAAAATGATTGCAGAATGGAGAAAAACCACACTTTTAGCTCAGTATCAAACTATCAGATGTTCAGTCGCAAATGAAGACCTTCTCACCACTGATCCAACTCAAATTTAGAGACATTCAAGAGGAGTCAGCTGACTTTCCATTTCACTTTACTCGAGGACAATCCAACGGTTCAGTCAAAAGATACATGAAAACCAAAGATGTCCTCTCAACCATCCTGACTTGCACCTAAGTTGCGGCAAACACAAGCCTGGCCGCGCCTCCGAGTTGCAACCGCGGTGGAAGATCATTTTACCGGTCCTGGAGAGCATTGACCTGTGGCCTGCCTTATCTTGGCCCTGATGCCCAACTTCAAGCTCATTCTGCACTCTCTTCAAAGAAAACCCTAAGGACAACCTAGAAGACTTGAAGACCTATAAATATATGTTTTAGAAGACCTGATTTTGTGTGTGCTCTTGTGCCTTTGTTTATTGAGCCACCAAATTTTTGTTTCTTAGTTTTAGGTTAGCTAGGGAGATAGAGATTTTATGTTTGATTAGGATTGTTAATTTCTTAGTCATATTCTAGATCTTATCTCTTCTAAATTTTTCATATTGGATGGAGTTAGAGTCATGAACTAACAATTGATCCTAGGATGATTAAGCTATAACAGTGTTGTATTACTCTTCTAAACATAGCTTCAGAAGAACGAAATTGTTATAAAAGACGAAAGCTACCTATAAATTATCATGAGCAAATATGAAACTTGTATGATATTACATGTTTTCTCTTGCGGCAAGAGACGAAAACTACTGGTCGAGTTTGAGTGATTAGTTGGTTAGTTACGCGAGAGAGAGCTGATCATACCTTTGTGTTTATATAGATTACTATAAATCAATTTTAAGAGCTTAGAACCCTAACATGAATCGAGCATCCCCTAAGATATCCCTACTGGCCCAACATTCATTTTAATTCCTAGCCCACATCGATTTTCTTTATAGCTTTTTCCTTTTCTCAATTGATTTTACTTTTTCTTGTGAAACCTAAAATCCTATAAAAACTCCATTGGTCTTTGAATTCATTTACTAGTCACAGTTTGAAGTTTTTGCAGAAAAGATAATCTTCTTGGGGATCAACACCATAGATACTACATCGTATTGTTGTGCACTTGAAGAGGCTAGAATTAAAAATTTAAAACTATACCTGCGACCTCCAACCCTAGCAGCATCAAATCCCAAAAGAAAGAACAAGGAAACAGCCACCTTGCAAATCAGAAGCTGTTTCATCCGGTAGCCCAAAAAAGAGCATTTTCTCTATGGAGTCGAAGGAGGCCCGAACAAAGACAGTCATCAACGTCTATGGTTTGATGCTCAACCAACAAACGAAGATTCGGCACTAAGATGGGACTACACTAACTATCAAGCAAATACTAGCTAGGTCACACTACGAAGATACTTCCCCGATGTCAATAGCACAAAGATGAGCAACTTCAGAGCTCAACAGCCTTACTACCTCCTCCGAAAGCAAGACAAATGAGAATCTTACTCGCTCACAACCACCAAGAAAGCCACCGCCTTGACAAAATCACAGGATTAACCTAGAAATCACGCTGAAGGTTTCCATGGCTCCAGTATGCCCAAGGTGGTGAGAAAAAACCAGATTTGACAACAAGAAGCCAAGATCCGTCCTCGAAGATCCCACACCATGCACCACCGTTTAACACTTCAAATGTCTAATGTGGCTTTAGATGATCTATACGTTTATAGAACAAAATAGTATATCATATATGCTATAACATTATAGTGATAAAATAACGTAATATATAAACAATAGAAATATTAAATTTCATCCTAAAATTTGTGTGGTAAAAAGACATTTCTATTTTGTAATACAATAGACCTTACTGCCCTAAATCGAATAAGCCTTATACGAGGATAATCAAAAACATTTCAGATAGAATGTTGTGCCATGCATGATCTTCATATATAGCTTCTTAAATCCAGATTTCATATACGATCAAATGAATTTTTCTCCAAAGCCTGAGATAAAACGGATGTTAACTTTGATGGGAAAACAAAAAGGGTCCAAAAGGACAAATACCGTTGCAGGTATGACATTGTATACAGAACGTGAGAATAGATTTTCTCATTCATTAGCTCTTTTTTTGTAGCAAAACAACTCGATCTGGTATGTCTTTAGCATATATGTTCAGTTTTTTCTTTCATTATTATAGTTTTTCTCATGCAACATGTTTACTTACATTATTGCATATGAGTGGTTGAATTGTTTTTTGGTTATGATGTTCCTATCTTGAATTTGAACTCTAAGTCAAACTGCATCATCATCTAGTCGTGAATGCAAGTGGACGGTGTTCGAACGAATTCACACAAAAAGGACGAATGAGTGGAACTTTAAATTTCCTGCAAGATACCTTGACCCACGCAAAGGTGGAAGCAGAATGTTGGAGAATAGCAAACCAACCTGATGTTGACGATGTCGCTCAGGTTGAGGGGTTGGCTCCCCCTCCACCCCTGATATCGCCTCCCGAGGATCCGCATATCTCTATATGCCGGATTGATGTATCTTGGACCAACCACAAACAGATTAGTGGCCTTGGCTGGAGTTTTGATGATGGCAGAGGGAATGAAATTTTTGGACTACAGGGATTTCGTAGAAGCCTTTCGGCTCTTCACGCCGAGATGGATTGTCTCTTATGGGCTATGTCATGCTTGAGAGATAAACAGATGTTCTCTGTGCATTTCCAGACCGATTGTTCGGACCTTGTGAGCATGTCTGAATCTCCAGAAGATTGGCCGTCTTTTAAGACAGAGCTGGATTTCTTCCATACCCTTTGCGAGAGCTTTTCAGAGTTCACTTTATCCCATATTCCGAGAAGTCTAAATGTCCGGACGGATACTCTTGCAAAAAGAGCTCGAGCAAGAGGAGTTATCTTTTCCCAAATCGATCATAACGAGCCGGTATCAGATGGTTCTCAGACCACTTCGCGGATTGGCCAAATGTGATTGAAATAGTTGGGTAGAGGAAAAAAAAAAG